CAGGGCTTGGAGGACGGGGCTGGCCGTAAGGCAGGAGGTCGAGCTGAGCAATCTCTCTCTGTACTCTGCCAAGGTTTAGAAGAGCAAGGAGAGAAAAAGAGAAAATGGGGGGGGGGGGTATCTAATTTCAACAGAGAAAACAGAAGTCTCACATTAGTAAGACCAAATGATTTGAACTGGAGATGTGTCAGCACCACACGTGCCTCATGGCACTCCATGCAAATGAAAGTATGGAGAGAGGAATGTGCCATCAGACATCCAAAGGGCAGAGGACTCTCGCTCTGACCAGCCCTGGCCTTCCCTGACTCCCAAATGGAGGGAGAAACCCAGGGTCCTTGGCCCAGCATGGCTGTTCTTTGGTGCCCTGGGGTGCATGAGCCCAGGCTTTGCTCCCAGGACAGGTCTCTGCAGGCGCCCAGCCCAGCCTGCCAGAGAGCACCTGGAGACCGAGGTCTGAGTCTGGGGAGACAGAGAGTTAGTGGGCTGGAGGCTCCTCACCTACAGAAGGGTGAGAAGCAGCTGGAGGGACTCACATTCTCCCCGGGGATGGGGAGCCCTGGACTCAAGACCAATCACAGCAGAAGGCCCAGGACATGGCATCTTACCTTAGTTATATGTTCTTCCTCCAGGTCATCCTCATCCTCCTCTAATCTGAGAGAGGGGAGAACAGAACACAGAAAACAGTCTCCTCAGAGAACTCGGGTCAACTAGAGATATGTTTACTGAGCATCTATCACATGCCAGCGACGAGCCATAGGCCTATACAAACAAGAATAGAACTGAGGATTGAGCTCTGAGCTGGAAGGACACAGATACATCCATCCCAGTAGTAAAGTTCCACCAAAGCAGCGGGTGCTCGCTTACTCTCTCAGCCAGAGAGATGCACCAGTCTAAGGCCAAAGCCATCCTCCCACTGCCACTCAGGAGAGGACAGAGAAAGGACAGGGTATTCTCAAAGCCAGGGTTCAATGTCTGACTGTCATTAAAGGCTACTCTCCCCTCACCGTCCAACCTCCAGCAAGCTGGACTTGTCTCAGTTCTCCAGGGCCAGGGACATGCTGTGCTCTTTGCTTGGAATGCTCTTTCCCCTCACTTCCTCCCTTTCCCTAGCCAACTGCTAGTCAACCTCGGGATTTCCACAAAAATATCACCTCCTCCAGGCAGCCTTCCTCAATCTCCCCTGGCAGGTTTGGCTGCCTTGTGACACAATGCCATGGCCCTTGCACCTCTTCTTTGGATACTCATCTTATTCAAAACCATTTCTTCTTCTGTGTTCTCAACCATGCTATCCTGTCCACAGGCAGGACCTGGGTGTGTCCTGTTTCTGTGGAGTGCCCCTTCCACCCCCGCCCCTGCACGCAGCAGGCACTCCATGCACATTTCCTGAGGTGCCAATTGACTAAGTGAATAAAAGATGCTGTCACTCATGACCAGGTAAATCTCTTCTCTCCTCTCCATCTGCCCTTTCTAGGAATGAATGAAGAGCCCATCGACACGGGACTGGTAAGTCAACCCTGCAATACTTGGCTAGATGTTTAGTCAACACTATTATTCTAAATTCCCTAAAAGACACAAAATCCTTCTACAGATACACTCTACCTTATGTATAGGGTAGGCCTAACATTTGGATTGTTTTTGGTGGTTGTTCACCTAGCCAATTAAGTTTTTTAAAAATAGCAGAAATGTTCATTGCCTTGGGCTATGAGAAACGGAATTATTTATAGGGTCAGCTTCCTGGTCAGTAAAGAACTGTTCAGTCAGCTTTGTCCAAAAGGCCTGAATTTAAATCATGTGCCACATAGTGAAAAAGCTCAGCAGGATCTTGGTGCCTTGCAGACAGAGAAGGAGGGTGGGTTTATCCTTCACGAGAGTCAACAAAGGGTTTTAGGCCTTTAAGTTACACTTCAGACAGACACAATGACCATAATATTGATGAAAACTTGGGATTCAAAGGACCTGTTGTCACCTCCAGAAGACAGGAAAGACCTCTTCCAAGCTGGAGGCCTATGAAGGATAATCTGTAGTAGCATTCGCACCTTAGAAGAAGAGCCACTGAACCTCAAGGTCGTAATAACCTTTCTAAAGCCCAAATCCACTCCCTTGCTTGAAACCTCCCACAACGCCCCACAGCGCCTAGAATAACACCCGAACTCCTCACTACCAGCTGCCTTGTCTTTGGCCATTTCTTTCCCTCTCTTCCTCAACCTGCCGTTGCTCGACACATGGCACTTCTTTCTCTTCCTCAAACACAACAAACCTGTCCCATTTCTGGACTGCTGCACTTACAGTTCTCTGACCATGACTCTCCTCTCCCAGGTCTTCCCATGGCTCTTTCTCACGCTACAGTCCTCGGCACAAACATCACCTCCTCAGAGGGTCTTCCCTGACTTGTCCACCTGGAGGTGCCCCACCCACTTTACCCTGTTTCACTGCCCCCATAAGTAACTGTGCTACTTTCAAATAAGAGCTAGTTTCACACTTATTGTCTGTCTCCCTCCACTAAACGCAAGCTCTCCAAGGGCAGGGGTCATGTCTGTCTTAGGCAGCTTGATACCCACAGCATCTAGAATTGTGCCACACCCAGAGCAGACTCCCACAAGTCATTTGTGAAGCTAAAGCATGAATGAAAAAGGAGCTCAAGAGGGGCAATGGGGTCCAGAAATGTGCCTACTTGTCATCTGTATTTCTAGTTTACCCATATGTTATAGCCCATAAATTAGAAACCTATAAACCTGGACCAACAGATGCTTTGTAGTAAAAAGAGAAACAGCTAAGGATACCTCAATGGCTTAGGTCACAAATCTAACCCACTGCAGTTTGGTACTTAAGAGCCTGACATCTAGAGCTGGGTGGAAGGGTTCAAGTCTCAACTCCCCACAACTGGGCGTTGTGTTATCTGCCAAGGCACCATGTCTTGCTGGACCACAGTGTCCTCGGGTGTAAAGAGAAGAGACTTCCAGTCAAGATGGAAGTGCAGCCAGCTATGGCTTGCCTCTTTGCACCACCACATCAAAATACAACTAAAATATAGAACAACCATCACTCAAAACTGTCAGAAATCAAGTTGAATGGAAGTCTGAAAACTACGGAATTAAAAAGACCACATCCATTCAGACTGGTAGGAGGGTGGAGACACGGAACAGGCTGGTCCCACACCAATGTGTGGTAGATAAACATTCAAGAAGGATATTTCAGGAGCCACGAGGCCCAGCCCACACCATGCCCACCAGCCCAGGGTTCCAGAGCCAGTAAGATGAAGTACCCACAACTTCTGGCTGCAAAAACCAGGAGGGACTGATCAGTGGAAGAAACTGCTGGAGCCTCAAGCAGTTCTTCTTAAAGAACCCACACATGGACTCACCTACTCAGACTCACTCCCTCTGAACTCTAGCACCGGGATGGCAGCTTGAAGGACACCAGTGGCATAAAGGGAGAAACTGAAGTGTCTGGCATCGAGAGGAGCAGAGGTCATTGTCCCTTTTCTATATCCTCCCCCCACAGAGCCAGTAAGCTGGTAACATATCTGAGACTCCATCAACCTGGCTAACACTGTTTGCTCAGCCCTGGAGATCCCCAGAGACTTCAATCTACTCAAATTAGGGCCCGCCCAAGCTACTTTTCCATATGAATGGCTGGTCTTGGCTCTTGTTTCAAACTTCCTAAATTTTCTCAAGCAACCATCAGGTGGCCCCAGTGAGCCCCAGGCCCGGCACTAGCAGCAGCCAGCCTAGATTCACAGCATGGTTTGCTGGGGCATCTCCAAGCCCAGCACAAGTAGCAGCCATCTCAGGTTGCTTTACAGCTCAGGCAGGGTGGCCCCAGGCATACACAGGTGGTGCTGACCTTGACCTGCACCACTCAGCAAACCCCAGAGCCTGCGCACCCAGTGGGCTGCTACTGACCATGTCAGACTGCCACCGCCCTGCCTCTGTACAGCTGATCTTCCACAGAGGGCAGTGTGGTGGTCGGTGGTCACAGCCAGACCTTGCTGCTGACTGGCCTGGATAAATCCCTCCCATTGGCCTGCCAATAGCAATAAATGCTCAACTATAAGAGGAGGGTGCACCTAGCCTACACAAAGGGCACACCTTGAGTACCCAGCTTGAGTGATAGTGGAAGCTGTGCCACTGTATCCTACAGGACACTACCAAGATATGGAGTCAAAGCAGCTCTACTTAATACATAGAAACAAACACAGAGAGGCTGCCAAAATGAGGAGACAAAGAAACATTGCCCAAATGAAATAACAGATCAAAACTCCAGAAAAAGAACTAAACAAAATACATATAAGCAATCTATCGGATGCAGAGTTCAAAACAATGGTTATAAGGATGTTCAAGGAACTTAGTGAGGACCTCAGCAACAAAAAATCCAGCCAGAAATGAAGGATACACTAATTGAAATAAAGTACAATGTACAGGGAAACAACAGTACAGTGGATATAGCTGAGAATCAAATCAATGGTTTGGAACATAAGGAAGCAAAAAACAACCAAACAGCACAACAAGAAGAAAAAAGAATCCAAAATAATGTGGGGAATATAAGCAGCCTCTGGGACACCTTCAAGTGTTCCAACATTCGCATCATAAGGTTGCCAGAAGGAGAAAAGAAAGAGCAAGATATTGGAAATCTCTTTGAAAAAATAATGAAAGAAAACTTCCCAAATTTGGTGAAGGAAATACACTTGCAAGTCCAGGAAGCACAGAGAATCCTAAACGAGATGGATGCAAAGAGACCCCACTTCAAGACACATTATAATTAAAATGTCAAAGGTTAAAGAAAAAGAGATAATCTTAAAAGCAGCAAGAGAAAGGCAGTTAGTTATCTACAGCAGTGATCCAATAAGACTGTCAGCTGATTTCTCAAAAGAAACGTTGCAGGCTAGAAGAGACTGGCAAGATGAACAGTGGGGACTTACAGCCATGAATGCTCTACCCAGCCAAGCTATCATTTAGAATCGAAAGGCAGTAAAGAGCTTCCCAGATAAGAAAAACTTACGGAGTTTATCATCACCAAACCGGTACTGTATGAAATGTTCAAGGTACTTAAGAAAAAGATCAGGAGAGCGGACCCCAGAGAGCCCTAAGCAGCCCCACTGCCGCTGGTCTAGTTACCATCACACCCCGGAAGGGGCCACAGCTGCCGCAGCCGCCGCAGCCACCACAGCCAGCCCCAGTCACCATCACTGCAACCATGAGCAGCGAGGCCGAGACCCAACAGCCACCTGCCGCCCCTGCTCCCCCCGCCCCTGGCAACACCAAGCCTGGCACCATGGGCAGTGGCGCATGGAGCAGTAGCCTGGCGCCTGCCTGTGGGGACAAGAAGGTCATCGCAACAATGGTTTTGGAACCAGTAAAATGGTTCAATGTAAGAAAGGGATATAGTTTCATCAACAGGAACACCACCAAGGAAGATGTATTTGTCTACCAGACTGCCATAAAGAGGAACAACCCCAGGAAGTACCTTTGCAGTGTAGGAGATGGAGAGACTGTGGAGTTTGATGTTGCTGAAGGAGAAATGGGTGCGGAGGCAGCAAATGTTACAGGCCCTGGTGGAGTTCCAGTGCAAGGCAGTAAATATGCAGCAGACCGTCACCATTACAGATGCTGTCCACGTCGCAGGGGTCCTCCACACAATTACCAGCAGAATCACCAGAATAGTGAGAGTGGGGAAAAGAATGAGAGATGGCAGAGGCTCCTGAAGGCCAAGCCCAAGAGCGCTGGCTCTACCGCAGGCAACGGTTCCCACCTTACTACATGCGGAGATGCTATGGGCGACGACCACAATATTCCACCCTCCTGTGCAGGGAGAAGTGATGGAGGGAGCTGACAACCAGGGTGCAGGAGAACAAGGTAGACCAGTGAGACAGAATATGTATCGGGGCTACAGACCACGATTTCGCAGGGGCCCTCCTCGTCAAAGACAGCGTAGAGAGGACGGCAATGAGGAAGATAAGGAAAATCAAGGAGATGAGACCCAAGGTCAGCAGGCACCTCAACGTCAGTACCACTGCAACTTCAATTACCCACGCAGATGCCCAGAATACCCTAAACCACAAGACGGCAAAGAGACAAAAGCAGCTGATCCACCAGCTTAGAATTCGTCCACTCCGGAGGCTGAGCAGGGTGGGGCTGAGTAAAGCCAGCTTACCATCTCTACCACCATCCGGTTTAGCCATCCAACAAGAAGAAATGAATATGAAATTCCAGCAATAAGAAATGAACAAAAGATTGGAGCTGAAGACCTTAAGTGCTTGCTTTTTGCCCGTTGACCAGATGACTAGAACCATCTGCATTATCTATGCAGCATGCGGTTTTTATTATTTTTATCTAAAGACGTCTCTTTTTGGTAATGACAAACGTGTTTTTTTTTTTAAAAAAAAAAAAAGTCTGGTTTTTCTCAATATACCTTTAAAGGTTTTTAAATTGTTTCATATCTGGTCAAGTTGAGATTTTTAGGAACCTCATTTTTAATTTGTAATAAAAGTTTACAACTTGATTTTTTTCAAGAGTCAATAAACTGCAAGCACCTGTTAATAAAGGTCTTAAATAATTTTTTTTAAAAAAGAAAAAAAGAAAAAGATCAAAACAATGAACAACAAAATGGCAAAAGTACATATCTATTAACAATTGAATCTAAAAAACAAACTGCAAACAAGAACAGTGACAATCATGGATACGGAGAACATTCTGATGGTTGCCAGATAGGAAAGGCGTGTCGGGGAATGGGTGACGAGGTGAGGGGATTAAGAAGTAAATAGGTAGCTACAGAATAGCCACGGGGGTGTAAAGCACAGTATAGGAAATGGAGTAACCAAAGAACTTACAGGCATGACCCACATAAACAATGACATGAACAATGGTGTGCGGATTGCCTGAGGGAGGGGGGATCTGGGTGGAGGGGGACATAGGGAGAAAAATCACGACATCTGCAATAGCATATTCAATAAAATAGACTTAAAAAAATAAAAATAAAGAGAAGACACAGATTATGTTGTGAAAATAATGGCATTAACCCACATGCAGCCAGTGCCCGGCAGAGGGAGGGATGGTTGGCCATCACTGTCATTCTCGCTTCAGCACCCTAAGGAGGAGCCTGGCTGGGAGGAAAGAGGCAGTGGCTGGCACTCCATCCCTTCAGATGGCCTAACAGTGAAGAAGAAGCCTGCCTCTTTCTGGGTATGAAGAAGGAGCTGCCTCCTGGGGAACCCCCAAGAAGATTCAGCAGGGCGGTGGGTGGAGCAGAAGTGCTATCTCACCCATTAGCTGTTCCTTTCTCCTCGTCACTCTCGTACTCAGAGAGGACCAGCTCCTCCTCCCCAGATGCTAGCTGCTCTGGCGGCTCCGCCCCTGTTCCTGCTGCCAGTATGTCCTTGCTGAGGCGGAGAAGATGCTCGGTCTCTTCTTCCTCCAGTCTCTGTTCAGGAGCATTGCAGGTGGGGAGAGAACAAGCTCAGTACCAGTGCCCCCACTTCCTTGGCAGGGTTACCCTCAGTGTGGCTCTCCCCCAGGACAACACACACATGCCATTAACACAGGCCTTGCTGTTTTACTGGTATCGATGCCTTGGCTCAAGCTGCCCAACCACCAGGTGAGAAGAACTTAGCCAGTGGGCGTCAGGGAGAGGAGTCCAAGGTCCTGGCCACTCACCCAAAGGATCCACGCCTTGAGGCCCCAGGCAGCCACTCCAGGAGATGACACTCACCTCACGTTTGGCTGCATACTTGAGCTGTGTGTTGTGACGGAGCTGCAGTAGACGTTCTTCTCGCTTCTTTCTCCTGATCTGCTCCTTCTAAAAGGTAAAGAAGCCATAAAGGAGACTCCAGCAGGAAGCCCCAAACCAAGCCCTTTCTTAAAGAGTCTGGGGCTGCTCAGCTTAGTGCCTCTTCACACAGGGGAGTTCGCCTCCCCTGGCCAGCACGCCTCACCGGACCCTGAATCTTGCCAGACCCCAGGCTCACTGTTCACTGCTCACTGCAGGAAGTCTGTATACAGCCTCCCAAAGCCAAACGCTCTCAATCAAATGCACTCCTTAATTGAGTTTGTAGCCACAAAACCATGTTGCCAATGGCAACAGTGAAGGAGGGTCTTTTCCCAGGTGGGTAATGAATGGGAACTGCCAGTCCCCTGTCTAAGGAAGACCTGTTGACACCAGCTTAAAAAAGACAGCAAGGGTGCAACCCCACTGACTCAAGAAAGTTGCCAGGAAACTTAAGGGGTAATACAAAGGCAAAGAACACATGGCATCTACATCCAAAATAACCGCCACAGTCCGGTTTCGTAGATCACTACTTGCTCCTGTTATCCCAGACCTCACCTTCAGTCGATCCACCAGGTCCCTTTTCTCTTTCTTCTGCACAAACTGCGTAACCCAGTCGGGTTCTCCAGCAGGCCTCAGGGTGTCTGGGGTCTCTTGGCTGGAGGATGAAATAAATGACTGCTCGTCCTTCTCATCATTTAAGGGGGCAGTTTCAGATTCAAGAAGACGTGCCTCTTCTCCACGTTTCTTCTGTTCAAAGTCACGGAGCCAGGAAAGAGCCCCACAGATAAGACTTAAGGATTTTCCCTACAGGGAGAAAAAATGTTTTCAGAAATAGAGAACAAAAAACAAATTTTCCCAAAATGACCTTGTCCATTTTACTAAAGCTTCAAGGAAGCTCTCACTTTAAATATTAGAGGGTGCTCTAAGACCAGCCTGGGGAAGGGAAGGAAGGAAATTAGCAAGAAAATGGCCAGAAAGTAGGGCAAGGAAGAAATAAAAATGAAGTTCTTTGTTTAATTGTACAGCACACAGTTCCTAAAAGAATTTAAAGTGGCTTATCAGATTACATATAACTACTGCAAGTTAACATAATTAGAAGAAAGTGAGAAATTAGATAAATAGCCCCCAAAAGACTTAAGGCCAAAAAATACAGAGCTTGAGATCCCATCCACGTGCTGAGGAGGGGCCACCCTTGACTCCACCCTTAACGCAGCCAGTGTGCAGACAGAACACACTCAGTCCCAAATTCCAGTGTTCAAAACTTTAATAAAGCAAACCAATTACTCTGATGAACACAGTTCTTGATTTAAAGACCAAAATTTTCCCTGTGGGTCTGTGTTATGGGTTGAATTGTGTCTCCCCAAAATTCATACATACACCCTGAGTCTCAGCTTGTGGCCTCATTTTGAAGCAGGGTCATTGCAGATGTATCTCATTAAGATGAGAAGCACCTGTATCCAATACGACTGGTGTCCTTATAGAAAGGGGAAATTTTTTTTTGAGAAAATGTTACCTTTTAGTTCATGCTCTTTTCATTGCACCATCCCCATTCAATAAACTTTCTCAAGTGTAAGCAATGGGGAATAAAGTGAACTCTGCAGAAACTGAAAATAAATCAGTTTCTTTCAAACTTTTGGTGAAGGTCCTTTAACTGAACATTATGCTTGGCTGCAAACAGAATTCGTCCTGAAGGAAGAAATCTCTGGCCTACTCCACCATTTCTCCAGCACTGCGTAATAAGCGTATTTCAAATTCACTTTCTTCTCCAACTGAGGCCAAAAGACAAGGAGTAGTTTGAGTGTCAGGAGCCCGGATCGGGTCCTGCAAAAGTCTCATTCATTTAGAACAAGTTTTCACTTGCTCTTTGTCTGGATCAAGGTCTCTGTTGTAACAGCAGGGCTGCGTGGGCAGTCAGCGCATGGTGCTCAATCGTTCCAACCACAGGGTAAACGAACCCAGAGCCTAGGCTGGCCTGGACATCACTAAAGGGTAAAATGAAATCCTGGGGTACAACTTTCTTGTTGGGTTGGTGAGAAAGAGAAAGGTGGGTCTTTGGCATACAGATGGCACATTTCCAAAACCCTATTGCACATAATGATGAAGTTTGGATTGTGCCCCAGAAGAGACTTCAGTATCTCTGGTTCCACAGACAGCCTGGGCAATGGTTCTTATCTTTTCCACAACTGGAAGCTGAACATCATAAAAAAGGGAAATCTGGACACACAGGTGTGCGTGGAAGGAAGGTGATTTACAGGGAGAAGACAGCCATCTATAAGCCAAGGTCACGGGCCTGAGCAGATCCTTCTCTCATCGCCCTCAGCAAGAACCAACCCTGTCAACATCTTGATTTCAGACTTCTGGCCTCCAGAGCTGGGAGGGAATAAATTTCTGTTGTTTAAGCCCCCCAGGTTTGTGGGATTTGTTATGAATGTGACAGACTAACACAGTCCTTCTAGAGAGGCTGGTGCAGTGAGTTTCACAAAGCTGCTTCTTCTGGTGTTCAAAGAGCAGTTCATTTCAGGTGAGTCCCAGGTGGGGCCAACACCTTTGGGTCCAATCGATCAGCTATCTCCCCAAAACCCTGCTCAGCCCAGGGTTGATCCTGGAGTACCCAGAGTGAGGTTCCAAACCTAATTCAGGCTTGAATGAACTGTAGGTGAAATGCATGTGTGTCTAGAGTTAGGGGAAAACAGCATAGTGCAGTGGATAAAGCTTCAGATTCCACAGCCAGGTTACCTCAGCCAAATACTGGCCCCTCCGCTTATCAGTGTTGTGACCTTAGACTAACCTCTCTAGGCTTCTTTCTACAGATGCAAAGTGGGGATAACAGAACTTTCCTCAGAGTTGCTACAAGCATTAAGTAAATTAATGCACATAAAGATTAATACCTACACCTGGATTAGAATACCTGGGATAAGTGAGCAACTGGAGCCTCCCTCTCTCTTTGCAAGTGCGTAGTAATAAAATTACTGTTAACTTAGATGAGGACTTGTTAGCTTTCATCAAATTCTCAGAAGATCCTCTGACAGACTGATACTTCTGACAAATGGATGGCTCACATGTCTGGAAAAGCCCCATATGTGCCATTTCTCAGCTTTTGATAAATGCAGGTGGCAAAGACTTGCAGATGGCAGTCCCAAGAGAACCCAGAGTGGCTATTCTGTGCTGCCTATGAGTGGGGAGCCATGGGCTGCAGCTGTCATCAAGCTCAGAGTAGGAGACACGGCCTGTAAAAACGGCCCAGGGACCGACGCCTCGTTAGAGAGCCAGCATCCTCCTCTTGAGAGCAAGCTGAGGAATTTTCTGAGAGGATGGTCTAAGTTACCTTCAGATGATGGGGGGTATACTCTAACACCAAGAAAAACGATCATTAAAGCCATGCAGGTCTATATTCTGTAATAAGGCCACGAAGATTTTAGACTGGAAAATATTAAAAGGATACATAACCAAATGCTCACCTGAGTAATGAAATAAATTTTATAAAGTACCCAAAGTATACCTAGCTTTGTGCAATGTTATTTCCTGGTGATTTTGTTAAGAAAATGCTGTTAAAATCTATGCAGAGATGAGTAAATTCATTTATTCTGAACACCTACATTGTAGCAAGCACTGGGTTTATTGCTGAGAACACAAGCTCCCTGGAAAGTACCCACAAGCACAAACTTAAACGTCTGATTGAAGGGCTTCACAAACCCATGCAGGACACTGAAATCCAGAGTTTAGAAATCCCAGAACTGCAGTGCTATGCAAGACACAGGGGACACAATGGTGAGAGGTCAACTCAATGTGGTGGACTCACAAAACACTTAAGAAGATGACTCTTAAAGGGAAACAGGCACAATCAGGCAGCTAACGCGAGGAACTGGACACCTGAAGCAGAGAACAAGCAGACGAGGCACAGCATATAACAGCATGGCACCCCCCCCTGCAGGTAACGGGGCACAAGGGCAGGAGAGGAGCTCTATTAGGGGTGTAATGTGAAGATATCAAAAGTGAAGGCCACAGAATCAAGAGCATGAACATAAAGGGCTGAGTAGAGGAAGAGGATGCCTGGGATGGGCAAGGGGCTGAGACGGGAAGACCTCAGAGGGAGGAGGTGGATTTTGAAGTTAAAGAAGGTGGAATGAAGATGTGCTCTTCTATGTCCTCTTCTGAAACACACTAAAATTACACCAAAGGCATCAAAGAGGCTTACACGCTCAAAAATACAGACAGTGAAAGAGGGGACAGTAACAAGTTTTAGAAGAGAGAGAGAGGAGAACTGGAACTGGCTTAGCACAGTATAGGACACTGAGCCCAGGTGCCTACAGAGATGTCCCCAGGTTTCCCCAAGAAAATGCCCAGGAACCTGCAGGACCAAGACATGTCACTGAAAACAAAGGGATTAACTGATACTCTTTTAAAGAATAATTAGAGAGAGTCATAAGATGGCACCTCCTCCCAGAACCAAGCTGGAAATAAAAGTAAATAGGGGAACGATCAGCCAGAATTACCAAGTGAAGACAATCTGAAGAGACTTTTAACCAAGGATGGACAGAAACCACCTTGAGACCAGTAGGAAGGGTCAGGTCATGAAAGGGGCTGGCCCGCTCCCACAGGTGGCAGGCCAAGGCTACAGAGGGAGAGCATGGCTGTGGGAGCTTCCCCCCGAGAGGAGTGAACGCTGCACCCCAGACTGGGCTCCCTGGCACGGAATGCCACAGCCGGATCAGCCACCCATGTAGCATCCAGCGGTGAAGGGTGGCGGGGTTCTATCCACCAGGTAGAGACCAAGCCTGCTGGAGACAAAGCCATTTTTTTAAGGGCCAAAGCACAAGTTTATTGTGTGCAGCCACTCATCCTGGGCCCCAGTGAAGGGAGGGCAGTGGGGACTGGAGTCACCTGAGAAGAGTCTGGAGTGGGAGGCACTGGGGAGAGATGTGGGGGAGCAGCTGCTGGGATCCCTATGTGGGGGTCATTCCCCCATACCACAGCAGTCAATTTTCTTGAGAATAAGCCCCTCCCAGGGGAATCAGCTGGGGAAAAAGCAACTACCCCACCCTCTGGGATACTGTTTGTCCCACCCTCTGGAATCCTACTTGCCCCCACAAGCATCTTAAAACCTGCTAAAGAGACAGCAACACAGGCAGACTCAGAGGGTGTCAGAGACTGGCTTTGGGGCCTGGCCATTCCCTACACTTTCCCAAGAACCAGACTGGTGCTTCCCCCTCACGGGAGAGCCAAGACAGATACTTGCAGACCCAAACCCTGCCCTTCAGAGGCCCCTCCCTGCTGAGTTCAGGGAGATAATCCAGAACAGACTTAGACATGCAGTTCCGGGGTGGGGGAACACACCTGCCGTCTTCCCTGAAGTCTGAATAGTACCTCTGCCTTTTGGGAGATCCAGGAGTCCCATCATCCGATCCTGCCAGAAGTCATTTCAGAAACAACCACTTCAGTGACTATGGTTGACAGCCAACTGACAGGTAGAGGTCAGCGAGGCAGATCCTGCGGTGCCTAGGGATGTTTGCTGACCCACCCCTGGGCCCTGTGCTGGTAAAAGGCAGCCTTGGAGCACAGCTTGACCCCTCCCATAGGCAGCCAAGCCCAGTGGAGGCAGCCAAGCCCAGTGGAGGCAGCCAGCCCAGTGGAGGCAGCCAGCCCAGTGGAGGCAGCCACAAACTGTGGATCACTTGTGGCTTCAAAGAAGCTCTTGAGGGCCTGACATGAACAGCATCTGACATTGGCTTGCATCACTTTCAGACATCAGAGCTGTATCCAAAGGGATATTCCAGAAGGCAGCCACTAAACTCTGCTGAGACAAA